ACAATGTATTAATAATACACACAATGGGCTAAAATGGTATAAATAATTTGTTAGAGAGGTCCAGGCATCAGAGTGTAAAAACAATATTCTATTTGAAAAAAGGTGAGCGGTATACGGTTGCGAACAGTTGTTATTCATGACATAAACAATTCCGCTGATATATTTTTCTTGCCATGGTGGGACTTGAAATATTCTGGAGATAAAAATATCTCGAAATTTATAAAGGTTACAAACCCTAATTTAGAATAATGTGGTTTTCTCCAGTTTTCTCCAGGTTGTTATCTCATAACTTCTCCGTGGTCGAGGGTTTACACGCTCGTTTAGAAAGCGAGAGGTCTGGTGTTCAAATCTCAGTTAAGGCAACTCATTTGTTTTTTGTTTGTTTTTTTTTGTTTGTTTTTTATTGTTTAAGCCAAATAAATATTGGATTGAATATCAGTGTTTCAAATTGGTTTATAATCTTACAACCTTCTTTTTTCTGAGATCCAGACAAATTCAGCACCTTCTATGCTTTAATTTGTAGGCAAACAGTTTGATTTTGAATCAATATTTGTTGGTTTTTTTTTTCAAAATTTTAGTTTAATTCTAGTTCAATTGTATAGATTAAGCTTATTAAAACACTATCGAATCCGTTTTTTGAACCAACCATTACTGAACAATGTGCGTAAAATCTCTTGCAACGGAAAAACGTCCGATGTGTAAACCATCGGTCACGCTGAAACAGTATTGAAAAAATAACAATATTAAAAAAACATTAACAAATGTTCCTATTTTTATATGTTACCGATAATAAAAATGATGAATGCAAAAATATTAACCAGTTTGAGCTGCATCCGAAAACGTTTTGTCAAAATGAATAAACTGAGACACACCTATTTACTGCAGGCTTTATCCACAAATAGATTTACTCGGAAGAAAATACAGTCGACATGCATGACATGTTAAGACACGTTAACTGATTCAAGCCTTACGCAATGAGCTAAAACATGTGTATAATTGTAGTTTAACAGATGTAGAATGTATCACCAATTAAACAACTTTTATTTGTAAAGTACTTTGTACTTTGTCCTTGAAATTTTGTAAATAAAAAAAATAAATGGGTGTTCGTGATCAGAACAATTTGGAAGCGAATATAGAAAAATGTGTTAAATATGCATTTTAATTGTTTGTTTGTTTGTTTGTCCGCAATTTTCATTATGTTTTAAGTTTGTAACTATTTTTTTCCGCAAATGAAATTCCTGTATTTTATATCTTTCGAAAGGTTTTAACGATATTTTTACAAGAAATTCTAAGATCTATCTAATATAAGACAATTGCGACGCGCAATTGAGCAAACGTTGCAATTTGATACAAATGTGCAAACGGTAATTTTCTTGGGGTTGCCCGTGATTAAATATTATAATAAACGTAGATAAACTTATTGTTTATAGAAAAAGAAAGATGAGCAGGTATGTACATGGTTACTTACTATAATATATAAAATTGAAAAAAAAAAGTTAAAGGGATGATTTTGATATATAAAAACTACAATGTTGTATTACGGTCCACTCTTATTTCCCTCAGTCTTAGCTATGAAATGAGAAACCATTCCGTGGTTTTCTTAGTTTTGATATATCGTTGGTAGCTTGTACCATTTCACCCTGCGTCTTTCTCGTCAAAATTGGTTGGGTAACAGCAATAAAAGATAAATAAACATGCCCGAATCTAGTACAAATGCGCGTGTTCCGCATCATAATACTCACATGGTATCGCTACATTTATAGGCAACGTTAATTACTTTTATGGGGATGTAACATTGGTTACAATGTAACGATGTTTTTTTTTTCTAAATTTATAAGATTCATAAGTTGAATAGTTATACCGAGGACTTCAATGAGTATAATCTTTGCATCACAAATATTTTAGCAGGGCAGGCCCGCTTTTAGAAATGACTTACATGTATTTCTCACCAAATTATAACCAATGTAATTTATTAATTACGAAAGCCTAATAGTGTCAAATGAAATAAAAAATAAAAATGCAAAGGCGTTATAACACGAATAAAGGCGTAGTAACGCGAATCAAAAGGCGTAATTACGCGAATCAAAAGGCGTAATTACGCGAAAAAAGGCGTAGCAACGCGAATAAAGGCGTTATAACGCGAATAAAAAGGCGTAATAACGCGAATAAAGGCGTAGTAACGCGAATCAAAAGGCGTAATAACGCAAATCAAAAGGCGTAATTACGCGAATCAAAAGGCGTAATTACGCGAAAAAAGGCGTAGGAACACGAATTAAGGCGTTATAACGCGAAACAAAGGCGTTATAACGCGAAAAAAGGCGTAGTAACGCAAACCAAAAGGCGTAGCAACGCGAATCGAAAGGCGTAGCAACGCGAAAAAAGGCGTAGCAACGCGAATAAAGGCGTTATAACGCGAATCAAAAGGCGTAATAACGCAAATCAAAAGGCGTAATAACGCGAATCAAAAGGCGTTGCAACGCGAATAAAGGCGTTATAACGCGAAACAAAGGCGTCATAACGCGAATAAAGGCGTAGTAACGCGAACCAAAAGGCGTAGCAACGCGAATCGAAAGGCGTAGCAACGCGAAAAAAGGCGTAACAACGCGAATAAAGGCGTTATTACGCAAATCAAAAGGCGTAATTACGCGAAAAAAGGCGTAACAACGCGAATAAAGGCGTTATAACGCGAATCAAAAGACGTAATAACGCGAATCAAAAGGCGTAATAACGCGAATCAAAAGGCGTAATTACGCGAAAAAAGGCGTAGCAACGCGAATAAAGGCGTTATAACGCGAAACAAAGGCGTTATAACGCGAACAAAGGCGTAGTAACGCGAACCAAAAGGCGTAATAACGCGAATTGAAAAGCGTAATAACGCCTTTATTCGCGTAATAACGCGAAACAATAGGCGTAATTACGCGAATCAAAAGGCGTACTAACGTGGATAAATGCGTTATAACGCGAACCAAAAGGCGTAATAACGCAAAACAAAAGGCGTTATAACGCTAATTTAATACCATATAAATTCCAAACAGTGGCCTATTAATGTATGGAAGGGAGAACAATGTTGATTTAAATGAATTGATCTAGATGTACGTTTTATTATATGCCCGAAAGAATTTCGGGCATATTATGTTATACCCCCTGGCGTCCGTACGTCCGAGCAAACATTTTGGGTTTAGGGGCTATATAACAGTAAAGAGAACAAAAGAGAACAATAAGTTCAATCCGTGATCAAAGGGTTTATGGGCTAGTAGCCCTTAAGAGAACAAAGAAAATAACAAAGAAAATAGCCCCTAAACCCAAAATGTTGGAACGTGCGACCGTCCGTCTGTCTGTCTGTCTGTCTGTCCGTCCGTCCGTCCGTAAGCAATTTGGTTTCGGGAGCATAACTTAAGTTCCATTTGGCCCACGATATTCAAACTTCGTAGGAGGATTGTTATTTGAAGGAGGTAATACTTTATAACCTATAAGTCACCAAGTCATCTTATATTGGCAAATATTAAAGAGTCTTTATTAGTTTATGACAAATAGAATGAAAGTTATTGTAAATGTATATTGTATTATTGTATACGAGTTTATATCTTGAGCAATAAATTCAGATCAATATTGGTCTTCCTTTTTCGCGAATTTGATTAGTATAAATATGGTATTAAATTGGCATTATAATGTGTTTTAATTTGCGTTATTACGCCTTTTGGTTCGCGTTACTACGACTTTATTCGCGTTACTACGCCTTTTGAATCGCGTTATTACGCCTTTATTCGCGTTATTACGCCTTTTTATTCGCGTTATAACGCCTTTATTCGCGTTACTACGCCTTTTGATTCGCGTTATAACGCGAATAAAGGCGTTACTACGCCTTTTGATTCGCGTTATAACGCCTTTATTCGCGTTATTACGCCTTTTGATTCGCGTTGCTACGCCTTTATTCGCGTTCTTACGCCTTTTGATTCGCGTTGCTACGCCTTTATTCGCGTTCTTACGCCTTTTGATTCGCGTAATAATGCCTTTATTCGCGTTCTTACGCCTTTTGATTCGCGTAATAATGCCTTTATTCGCGTTATAACGCCTTTGCATTTTTATTTTTTATTTCATTTGACACTATTAGGCTTTCGTAATTAATAATCAACAAATCTAAGCTCGATTAAAAAACAATTTTCAATTAAATAAACCCAAATTAGTTTTCATGAAGATGTTAGTATTGAATGGTACGATGTTGTCGCGCTGAAAATTTAATCATTATGAATCCTAATTCTAAATTAAACAACGTATTCAAAGGTGAATGTTAAATTTTGTCTATGTCGGTGCATGACGTTGAATGGACCGTGGTTTGCAATTGAAGTAGACACTGCCATCAATGAAGAGGCTCAATCAAACAAAACGTACACTTTTGTCGTCTTACTTAGAAAATGTCTTGAAATTTACATTTGATTACTATATCCCTTTATATTCTTCCGTTCTTGGGCGATGTCCCTGTTGAGTGCTTTTGGGTGATGTGGGTGATGCGTTTTGTAAACGTTCCTTTCTTTGTTGGTCTTATGTGTCATTCCCTAAGTTAAGTTGATATACCATAACTACATGCACACTTTCTTTTTCCCGGTAAGCTACTTATAAACCAAGCAAATATAACATTATATTTTCTGCTTAGCAAAAGTAAAAAAAGAAGTTGATCAATAATAATTGTTCATTTGTGTACGTTTATGAAATATGACGAATTTAATCTATCACTGTCTACAACAATTATAGTGACAGGAATCATTCAAATATTGCTAACATTATAGTAGCATTTTTGATAAATAGTGTACTCATTTGTATATATCTGATGCTCTATGTGATATGTTTCACCTTCTTATGTAACATTCTATTCTTATATTCGATTTGCTGCATTCTTTTTTTAAATATATTTACTTTTAGAGTCAAATTTTAGCATATTTAAGAAAATGACTGTTTGCCGATTTTGTGTTGAATTCTTTGCCGGTAAATTATTCTTAGACAACATGAAGGACGACATAACCATGATGGCTCTTACAGATGAGACCTATGTAGTGAAGTAAGTCTGATTATCATTACAAAACATATATGAAGCGTCATTCCTCTGAACGCGAGTATTAAAGTAAACACTTCGCTAATGTAGTATAGGGATTGTCTTTACTAATTTGTCAGTAATAATCCAGTCAAATGAAGTACTTTAGTAATGCCAAAATAAAGAAAAATAAATACAATAAAAACTTCATGAAATGTTAACATATACTGAAGAAACAAAATAACTAAAAACTTACAAATATTTTCAATTATTTGTACTATTCAACTTACTACTTTAAGCGACACGCCTCCGGATTGTTAAAATTGGAGAGAAAAAAAATCAAGTAAACGGTTAATTATGATTTTGTTAGGTTAATTATATAAATCCATAATTACTGACATCTTAATTAAAGAAAGAATGTTGACAAAAGCATCAATGTATTGCATTTCTTCTTTACATATTGTTCTAGGTTAGTAACGCAGTAGCCAATATAAATATGAGAAGATCATTCATTCAACATGGTCATGTATCACAACTGTGGTTCGGAAAAATCCCGGTGTACGGTACGCCCGGGTCGTTTATCAGTGAATAGGCCCTAATGATGTTTCAAGCTGAAGTTTTAATCGATATATTGGTAATCATATATGTTCAAAACCAAAGCAGTTTATTGGTTTCCCTCTATGTTTGATACGATCCCGGATTCCGTGCGTTCCGGATCACTTGGCGCGATACTGTCCTGATCTCGGATACCGGGTACTAGAATAATCCCTGTTTGTTTTCAGAGCTGGAATATTAAAATATGAACATTTTGAAGTGTAATTTCTATTTCTTTAAACTATATAATGTTTTTGAGGAGGAATTTTGAAATATTAAGTACGACGGTAGTTTTTCTGTAACCTTCTTTCCTACTGCTTTAAGGCATTTGTCAATTGTCAATAAATCAGGAACGGAAATATAATTATGATGATATCATATTATATGCCTGTTTTCAAATTTATTTTAGGCCATATTTTAGCAAGTATAAAACATGATAATTTCCTTGATTATTTTTGAGTGTATGTAACGGTCATTTTTATACCTCAATAATTTACCTGAATTTCTACGTTTAACCACTCTTCATTTGTTCAGGTTCTTTCAGATCATATGAAAATTTGCGATCATAGGAATGACTCGTCATTTTTTTTTTTGGGGGGGGGGGGGGTGATACAAAGAAAAGGCTACTTGACTTCAGAGTTCATTAATGGCCATGTTGCCGAAGTCGTCCCTCATGTTAAAATGATATTAAACCCATTTTTTCATTGTGAAGTTGAGCTAAATAGACTTAATATTTCAAAACATCAACTGTTACAATGGTGATTGAGCAACAGTTAAAACTGGATTTTCGCATTTTTGTAACCTTTCAACACCAGATACCACACTCAAAATGATATAAAACGCGAAATACTAACAAGAAAGGATAGAGTTGTGTCAAGTAAACTAGAATAAAGAACATCTTAAAAAATTAAATTCAAAGCATTGCTGATTGTTTTTACGTGACTCTTCTTTCTTCAAAAAAACGGCCGATAAATTGATTAGTTTTTTATTATAAAATTATGCGATTAAATTAGCGGTTAACCGGGTCGTAGGACGATTCCTGTTCTCCTTTTATACGGAAACACAGGATATTATAAAGTTCAGTCAATCAAAACGGAAATGACATCACGTATTGTAGAACATAATTCACCATAAATAAATACATTTCTATATACAGGATCTGACATCTGCAATTTGAAGAAAACTTCATTAAAAAGTGTACAGCATTAATGTCTCTGATAAGAATTTTTGAACACATTGTACGTTTAAATCCTTCACAAAGTTGGATAAACCTTATTTCATAAGTTGTAAAATTGTTAAGTAATTAAACGCATCAGACTGTAACTAGGATATTGGAAATAACTTTGATTTCAAATTTCTTAAACCTGTTAAAAATGTAAACTAGGAAGTATTAGCTGCGTCATTAAATCTGTTTATTGGACGAATATAATAAAATATATTTATATTTATTACATACATGTTTATAATAACATACGAGGGGTTATCCAAATATTCGTGAGCATTTCAAATATCTTTTGAAAGTCAACGTGTATTGTTATGCAATATCAACATACCTTGTAGAATATTATCTGGAACAGTTAACATGGCCAATAAATAATAATTATATATTATACAATTATTGACTTGTGAGCCATTGAATATAATGTGATATTCACCGGCAGATGACATATTGACCGAGGCGATAGCTGAGGTCAATATGACATTCTGCCGGTGAATATCAAATCATATTCAATGGCTCACTATAGTCAATAATGTTTTATTATATGAATAGGCTAAGAATTAAAAATAAACCACAAAAGTACAACCTTTTATAATACATGTTCAACTTGAAGCGCGGAAAAAAAAGCACATGTTAGGCGTGCAACGACTACCCGAACGCTGTGTTACAACCAGTTTTGCAATAAAAACGAGTTTTGCAATAATTTTATTGCAAAACTCGTTGCGTTGACATGATTTTATTGCCATTTGATCACAACCGGTTTTGCAATAAAAACGAGTTTTGCAATAAAATAGTTTTTCTATCGGATTTTGTAAATATTATACGAAAGACATTATAGAATTTATCTATGTAAATTAGGATTGACATGCAGGGATTATATTCGGGAATAATGAATATATAATATGCATATGCTCAAACAATAATTTATATTCTCAATTTCATTACTTTTTTCATTTGTAATATACATGTATATATGATGAAAGAATCAAACAATAATTTACATTCTAAATTTCATTAGATTTTTTTTTTCTTTTAATATCATATATGATGAAAGAATGATCATCATGAAATATTAGGACATGTACATTAACAATAACAACTGTAGTTTTTGACACTCGTGTGCTCAAATCTCAGTGATATACATACATGACGTTTTAATAAGATCTTAACTTACCAGTACTTTGAAGAAATAAATAAATACGACTTTCGCAATAATTTTATTGCAAAACTCGTTGCGTTGATATGATTTTATTGCAATTTGATCACAACCGGTTTTGCATAAAAACAAGTTTTGCATTCTATCGGATTTTATTGAGATTATACAAAATACATTATAAAATTTATCTATGTATATTAGGATTGACATGCAGGGATTATATTCGGGAATAATGAATATATAATATGCATATGCTCAAACAATAATTTACATTTTAAATTTCATTAGTTTTTTTTTATTTTTAAACATATACTATGCTCAAATTTGATATCAGGAATAATTGGTAATTGCTACACAGTCTCTTTGTAAATATAAAATAAACATGTTTTGACTTCAAACTAAGTACATATGTCATGTTTAAAACTTTACACAGTATAGGTGGTTACAATATGAATATATAGTGTCGTTAAAAAACTGGAAGTTTTTTTTAAGAAAATACCAACTTTACTTGTCCTGTAATGGGGAACGTGGCTTCCAATACATTGTTAATTCATTTTTATTCAAATTAGACAAATTCAGTAAAGATTTCATAGGTTTTAACAAATTTCTTTGATTAAAATATTTTAATCAAAGATAAGCATAGTATATCTTTAATATATATATGATGAAAAAAATCAAACAATAATTTACATTCTAAATTTCATTATATTTTTTTTTTCTTTTAATATATATGATGAAAGAATGATCATCATGAAATATTAGGACATGTACATTAACAATAACAACTGTAGTTTTGGACACTCGTGTGCTCAAATCTCAGTGATATACATAGTTTACATGACATTTAAATAAAGTCTTAACTTACCAGTACTTTGAAGAAATAAATAAATACTACTTTCGCAATAATTTTATTGCAAAACTCGTTGCGAGACTATGATTTTATAGCAATTTGATCACAACCGGTTTTGCAATAAAATATTTTTTATCAGATTTTATTGTGATTATACAAAAGACATTATAAAATGTATCTATGTATATTAGGATTGACAGGCAGGGATTATATTCGGAAATAATGAATATATTTGCATATGATCAAACATTAATTTACATTCTCAATATTATTAGTCTTTTTTCTTTTAATATATATGATGAAAGAATGATCATCATGAAACATTAGGACATGTACATTTACAACAACAACTGTAGTTTTGGACACTCGTGTGCTCAAATCTCTGCGATATACATACATGACATTTTAATAAGGTCTTTACTTACCAGTACTTTGAAGAAAGAAAAAAAAGAGTTTCGCAATAATTTTATTACAAAACTCGTTGCGTTGACATGATTTTATTGCAATTTGATCACAACCGGTTTTGCAATAAAAACGATAAATAAAATTATTGCGAAACTCGTTTTTTTGTTTTGTTTCTTTCAAAGTGCTGGTAAGTAAAGACCTTATTAAAAGGTCATGTATGTATATCACAGAAATTTGAGCACAAGAGTTTCCAAAACTATAAAGTTCTGTTGACTACTGTTTGGACCAATGAGATTGCGGCTATATTTAGATCATATAATAATGCTTTTTAATAAGCACATACACGTCACGGCGCATTTAGTCATCGTTAGATTTTTTGATAATTTACGTAGAAAATCCGCTAAACATCACATGTTTCTTCCATGACGTCCTTAAAGTATTATTTTATTCAAATTGTCATTTCTGTTAATTTTGTTGATATCCCTTAAAACGCCAGACGCCAATATTGTTTACAACGGGAAAATGACAGACACCAGAAATAAGAAAATTGCGCGATTTGTAATTTTGGAATATCACCTAAAAAGCATTAAAAATCATTAGGCAATCTGAGAAATCAAAATTTCACGATCATAAGTGTTAAAGTGGCATAAGAGATTTAGTTATGGACGGGAAATCGAAAGGGCCGATACAAGTTGTGGACAAAATACAATAATCAACGCGCGCATGATTGGCGACATCAAAACGTGTCTTGACACAGATAGGCGGCAAACCATAGAAGAAATTATTGAGGCGACCGACTGTAG